ACTGACTGCTATTCATCCTATAACAGTAAAAAAAGTTTTTTGTTTTTAAATCCAAGCTATTGTGACACAGGATCTAATTAGTGGCACTTGTCAGCGTATCCACTGTTAGCGTAACACACCCGCTTTAAGGACACTGGCTGCTATTCAATCTATAACAGTGAAAAAAGTTTTTGGTTTTTAAATGCAAGCTATTGTGACACCAGATATGAGTGAGTGGTGGCACTCGGCACCGTATCCACTGTGAGCTTAACACACCCGCTTTAAGGACACTGACTGCTATTCAATCTATAACAGTGAAAAAAGTTTTTTGTTTTTAAATCCAAGCTATTATGACACCAGTGAGTGGTGGCACTGGTCACCGTATCCACTGTTAGCATACCACACCCGCTTTAAGGACACTGACTGCTATTCAATCTATAACAGTGAAAAAAGTTTTTTTTTTTTTAAATGCAAGCTATTGTGACACCAGTGAGTGGTGGCACTGATCACCGTATCCACTGTTGGTGTAACACACCCGCTTTAAGGACACTGACTGCTATTCAATCTATAACAGTGAAAAAAGTTTTTTGTTTTTAAATCCAAGCTATTGTGACACAGGATCTAATTAGTGGCACTTGTCAGCGTATCCACTGTTGGCGTAACACACCCGCTTTAAGGACACTGACTGCTATTCAATCTATAACAGTGAAAAAAGTTTTTGGTTTTTAAATGCAAGCTATTATGTCACCAGTGAGTGATGGCACTGGGCACCCTATCCACTGTTAGCGTAACACACCCGCTTTAAGGACACTGACTGCTATTCAATCTATAACAGTGAAAAAAGTTTTTTGTTTTTAAATCCAAGCTATTATGACACCAGTGAGTTGTGTCACTGGTCACCGTATCCACTGTTAGCGTACCACACCCGCTTTAAGGACACTGACTGCTATTCAATCTATAACAGTGAAAAAAGTTTTTGCTTTTTAAATGCAAGCTATTGTGACACCAGATATAAGTGGTGGCACTGGGCACCGTATCCACTGTTAGCGTAACACACCTGCTTTAAGGACACTGACTGCTATTCAATCTATAACAGTGAAAAAAGTTTTTTGTTTTAAATGCAAGCTATTGTGACACCAGTGAGTGGTGGCACTGGGCACCGGCTTATCCACTGTTAGGCGTAACACACCACCCAGCTTTAAGGACACTGACTGCTATTCAATCTATAACAGTGAAAAAAGTTTTTTGTTTTAAATCAAGCTATTATGACACCAGTGAGTGGTGGCACTGGGCACAGTATCCACTGTTAGCGTAACACACCCTTTAAGGACACTGACTGCTATTCAATCTATAACAGTGAAAAAAGTTTTTTGTTTTTAAATCCAAGCTATTATGACACCAGTGAGTGGTGGCACTGGTCACCGTATCCAATGTTAGCGTACCACACCCGCTTTAAGGACACTGACTGCTATTCAATCTATAACAGTGAAAACAGTTTTTTATTTTAAATGCTAGATATTGTGTCAACAGATATAAGTGGTGGCACTGACTGGGGAAATGGGCACAGTATCCACTGTGAGCCTGACACAGAAGCTGGCAGCAGTGGCAGACAACTGACTGCTATTCAATCTATAACAGTGAAAAAAGTAGTTTTTTTTAAATGCAAGCTATTGTGACACCAGTGAGTGGTGGCACTGGGCACCGTATCCAGTGTTAGCGTAACACACCCGCTTTAAGGACGCTGACTGCTATTCAATCTATAACAGTGAAAAAAGTTTTTTGTTTTAAATGCAAGCTATTGTGACACCAGTGAGTGGTGGCACTGGTCACCGTATCCACTGTTAGCGTACCACACCCGCTTTAAGGACACTGACTGCTATTCAATCTATAACAGTGAAAACAGTTTTTTATTTTAAATGCAAGATATTGTGTCAACAGATATAAGTGGTGGCACTGACTGGGGAAATGGGCACAGTATCCACTGTGAGCCTGACACAGAAGCTGGTAGCAGTGGCAGACAACTGACTGCTATTCAATCTATAACAGTGAAAAAAGTTTTTAAATGCAAGCTATTGTGACACCAGATATGAGTGGTGGCACTGACTGGGCAAATGGGCACAGTATCCACTGTGAGCCTGACACAGAAGCTGGCAGCAGTGGCAGACAACTGACTGCTATTCAATCTATAACAGTGAAAAAAGTTTTTTGTTTTTAAATCCAAGCTATTGTGACACCAGATGTAATTGGTGGCACTGACTGGGGAAATGGGCACAGTATGCACTGTGAGCCTGACACAGAAGCTGGCAGCAGTGGCAGACAACTAAGTGCAATTACATTACATAGAAAAAAAAAATCCAAAAAAAGCATACCCTTAACCCTAACCTAGCTATGCTTTTCCCTATCTAATGAACAGCAGCTACACTTTCCCTCCTCTTACTAAGCATGCAGCTTGAGAATGAATCTAAAATGGATGCCTTCCAGGAGGTGGGAGGGTCTGCTAGGGAGGGTGTGCTGCTAATTGGCTGGAATGTGTCTGCTGACTGTGAGGTACAGGGTCAAAGTTTACTCAATGATGACGAATAGGGGGCGGGTCGAACCGCGCATATGTTCGCCCACCCTGGCGAACGCGAACATGCTATGTTCGCCAGGAACCGTTCGCCAGCGAACCGTTCGGTACATCACTACTGTTCAATTATAAATGCATTGTTTTGTACCAAAGATGCATTACCCTCCCCGCCCCCCCCTTTTTTTCTTTCTGTACCCACTCCCTCTCTTTGTTTGAACGAAAAATAAAACCTTCAAATGGAGAAAAAATAAATAAAACTGATTGTCATGGTGTGCCAATTTTATGCCTCTAAA